TCAATCTGATTTCGGTGTTGACCATCTGGTGATGTCCATGTGTAGAGTCTTCTCTTGTGTTGTTGGAAGAGGGTGTTTGCTATGACTAGTGCATTCTCTTGGCAAAACTCTATTAGCCTTTGCCCTGTTTCATTCAGTACTCCAAGGCCAAATTTGCCTATCACTCCAGGTGTTTCTTGACTTCCTACTTTTGCATTCCAGTCCCCTATAATGAAAAGGAATCTTTTTTGGGTGTTAGTTCTAAAAGATCTTTTAGGTCGTCATAGAACTGTTCAACTTCAGCTTCTTCAGCATTACTGGTCTGGGCATAGACTTGGATTACCGTGATATTGAATGGTTTGCCTTGGAAATGAACAGAGATCATTCTGTCTTTTTTGAGTTTGCATCCAAGTACTGTATTTCAGAGTCTTTGGTTGACTATGAGGACTACTCCGTTTCTTCAAAGGGATTCCTGCCCACAGTAGTAGATATAATGGTCATCTGAGTTAAATTCACCCATTCCAGTCCATTTTAGTTCGCTGATTCCTAGAATGTCGATGTTCAGTCTTTTCATCTCCTGTTTGACCACTTCCAATTTGCCTTGATTCATGGACCTAACATTCCTGGTTCCTATGCAATATTGCTATTTACAGCATCGGACCTTGCTTCCATCACCAGTCACATCCACAACTGGGTGTTGTTTTTGCTTTGGCTCCGTCTCTTCATCCTTTCTGGAGTTATTTCTCCACTGATCTCCAGTAGCATATTGGGCACCTGCCAACCTGGGGAATTCATCTTTCAGTGTCCTATGTTTTTGCCTTTTCGTGCTGTTCATTGGGTTCTCAAGGCAAGAATACTGAAGTGGTTTGCCATTCCCTTCTCCAGTGCGAATAATGCATCATTTTTCATCTCTATCTGTTGTTCCACTGCCTCACGTTGCTTTTCCCTTCCTCTTGTCACCCTAGGGTTGTACTTCTCAAATAAAGCATCCACACTAAATTCCTGCCTCAGGGTCTACTTCTAGGAAACCCTGCCTCAGATTATTGGTAACAAGAGTGGTTAGGGGACATCCCTGGAGGTACAGTGGTTAAGACTTCGCTTTCCATGTGGGCAGTGTGGATTCCTAGTTGGGAAATTGAGATCCCACACGTCTCATGGTCAAGAAACCAGAACATAAAAAAGTAGGCAATACTGTAACAAATTCAATAAAGGCTTTAAAAATGGTACACATCAAAAAACTCTCCTTTAAAAAAAAAAGTGGTTCTGCAAAGCAGACTGTTGGACGGGATTTGGGAACTGGCTTTCTCACTGCTCAGAAGGCAACAAAATCCCTGTTGCTAGAAGTTGGTGGGATGCAGTGGCACATGAGTCCTGAGGCTTTCATCTGTAGTTAATGGAATAAGGATGAGGCTTTGGGATTTTGAATACTTGTGATGCTTAATCAATTTGGTAGCAAAGAAAGTATAAGAATTGTGAGTAGAGTGACTTTTAGGAAGGAGGTGGGTACAAGAGACCTTGCCAAAACAAACAAACAAACAAACAAAAGGTCCAGGGCTTTTAATTGCTGACTTACACAGCATAATCTAAACTATGGAATCTTTATGATGCGTTCAAAGAGACGTTCATCCCTTGAAGCTAGAAGACAAGTAATGCAGTGAATCTGATTGCAGGGGTAATAACTGCAAAGAATATTAAATCAACAGTTTCAACAAGTCTCTTATTGAGAGAGAAAACCAGGGCCTTAATGGAGAAAAAATGGACTATTTAGACCTCGAATAGGGATATTTGTATAGATAAGTCTGAACATCTTTGAGCTCCCTAATCCTCTGAAATCTTCTCATGGCAAGCTTTTTATTCTTTCCAAATGAGAACTTCTCTCCCAAAAGAGTCATTTGAAACTGGTACCTTGTGAGATGATGCTTGATCTCCTATCACATACACTGTGCTTCTAGTCTAATAATGAAAGTCACGTCCAGGGAAGCCCCAGCAGAAAAAGTCTACACACTAAAGGGCCTGCAGGATCTAGCTAAAATGTCCTGGCAGAAACTAGAGGAACACAAGTGGAACTGGGTCTTGCATATGGTAATCCAAGTAAAAATATAACACTGGATAGGGGAGAATGCCCGCTGACGTGTGAATACTTACCCAAGACTTGAAATTCAATATCTTGACTACTCCAAATAGTTGGCTTATATGAATGACTCCT